ATCTAAATCTATGAAAATAAAATTTATCAGTGCAATCGGAAACATTGAAATGGAATTCGTGACATATTTAGTATAGCGTGCATGTTACTATTATGTGCAACAGATAGTTCTGTTCTTCAAAAACGCATGTTTTTACCTGTCACAGGGGTGGCTTCTATATAGTAGGTATATAAAAAGACGCGCCTATTCGAATGCAAAGTTGTGTCAAAATATAAAAGCAATCGGTGAAGAGGTTTCGAAGATTTCCCTCATATGAAAAATACAATTTTTCAGAAAAAAAAACATTTTTTTTTACCGTCACAGACGTGACATCTATATAGTATGTATATAAAAACCTGGCTGGATGCGACTGGAACGTTGTGTGAAAATTTCAAAGCAATCAGTGAAGAACTTTCGGAGATTAGCGGTCATGCACAAACGAACATTTCCATTATTATTTATGTAGATTTCCTCCTTTACATATACAAAAATACCATTTTAATTGTTAAAATTATATGTATGTATTGTTCAGTAAAATAAATTAACATAAATTAACAGCTGTGTTATGGTGATGATATACAGCTGTTGTATGGGGGTCATATACATCTGTTTTTTCACCTAGATGTACTCACCTAGTTTTGCTTGCGGGAGTTTAGCTTTGGCTAAACCAACCTCTCAACAGTTAATCTACTGGTGTACAGATTCTTGAGGTTCTCGAGCTCTATCGTACCTATATTTGAAACTGTATGGAGTCAGCCTCCACCACATCACTTCCTAGTGCATTCTATTTACTAACAACTCTGACACTGAAAAGTTCTTTCTAATTTGGGTACTCATTTGGATACTCAGTTTCCACCTGTTTCCCCTTGTGTATGTACCACCCGTGGTAAATAAGCCATCCTTGTCTACCCCTGTCAATTACCCTGACAATTTTGTATGTGGTGATCATATCTCACTGAGCTCTTCTGTCTTTCAGCGACGTGAGGTGTAGTTTACTCAGCCTTTCCTCGTAACTCATGCCTCTTAGTTCTGGGACTAGCCTAGTAGCATACATCTGAACTTTTTCCAGCATCATATTGTGTTGACAAGTAGCGGGCTCCAGTCGGGGGCTGCATACTCCAATTGGCCTTACATACGTGGTATACAAGGTTCTTAAACATTCCTTACACAGGTTTCTGAAGGCTGTTCTGATGTTAGTCAGCCTTGCATATGCTGCCGATGTTATTATTTTGATGTGGGCTTCAGGAGACAGGTTTGGCCTGATATCAACTCCTAGATCTTTCTCTCTGTCCGTTTCGGGAACGACCTCATCTCCCATTCGGTATCCAGTGTCTAGCCTCCTATTTCCTCCACCTAGTTCCATTACCTTACATTTACTTGGGTTGAACTTCAGTAGTCATTTGTTGAATCATTCCTTCAGTTTGTCTAGGTCATCGTGTAGCCTTATACTATCTTCTTCTGTCTTATTCCTCCTCCTCATATTTTTTGCATCATCACCAAACACAGAGAGGAACGATTCTATACCCTCTGGGTATAGATTTTTTTACCATTTACATATATCAGAAACAGTATAGGGCCATGGACTGATCCCTATGGGACTCCACTGGTGACGCCTCGCCACTCCGAGACCTCCTCCCTCACAATTACTCGCTGTCTTCTGTAGCTTAGGTACTCCTTTATGTGGTGGAGTACCTTGACTTTCACTCCCACATGCATCTCCTGCTTGTGAACCGGTCTCTTATGCGGTACTGTGTCAAAGGCTTTCTGGTAATCAAAAAATATGCAATCTGCCCTCCCTTCTCTATCTTACTTGATTTATGTTAGCTTGTCATAGAACTCAATTAATCCTTTGAGGCATGATTTGCCATCTCTGATTCCATGCTGATGTTGTGTTATAAGCTTCTTACCCTCCAGATGTTCCACTTGTTTTTTCGCATAATCTTCTACATCATCTTGCATGGTATGCAAGTTAGGGACACTGGTCTGTAGTTCAGTGCTTCCTGTCTTTCACCCTTCTTGTATATCGGAACTACATTGGCCGTTTTCCAAAATTTTGGCAGTTCACCTGTTACCAGTGATTTGTTGTACACCATTGAGAGTGGCATGCACAGAGCTTCTGCTCCTTCTTTTAGTATCCATGGTGAGATTTCATCTGGACCTATAGCCTTTGTCACATCCAAATCTAGCAGATGCTTCCTCACCTTCCCACTGGAAATCACAAACTCCTCTAGTGGTGTCCGGTTTGATATTCCCTCTCCTATCTCTGGAACTTCTCCTTGCTCTACTGTGAAGACCTACTTGAATTTCTTATTGAGTTCTTCAAGAAGATCTCCTTGCTCTTCATACTCTTTGTCGTTTGTAGTGAATCTGTCTGCCCCTATCCTCAGTTTCATTACCTATTCCTTCACTGCTGTTTTTCTCCTGATGTGGCTGAGCAGATATTTAGGTTGATTTTTTGCCTTGCTAGCTATGTTCTTTTCATATTATCGCTCTGCCTCTCTCCTCGCCCTAACGGATTCATTCCTGGCCCTCAGGTATCTTTCTCTGCTTTCTAGTGTCCTGGTATTTATCCAAGCTCTTGTACTTAGCTGCTTTGCTAGCTTACATATTAGATTACACCTTGGGTTTCTTGTCTGCATTTCATTGTTTTCCCTTTGGACTGTTGCCTCCTTACACTTCTGCGTGATGTAGTCCATCATTTCTTGGGCCATCTTTCCTCTGAGCTCTGTTTCCCAGGCTATATATGTTAGGGATTTCCTTATCTCCTCATAGTTTCCCTTCCGGAATGCCATTCGTTTGTTTTCTGGGTCCTTCCTTGAGTATCATAACCCTACTTCGACCAAGTACTCATACATCAGTACACTCTGATCACTCATTCCCACTTGAGCTTAGAAACCGATTTCCCTTATGGTGGAGTCATTCAGAGTGGGACTAGGTCTAGTCTCGCTGGTTCATTGTTGCCTCTCCTTTTTGTGGGTCCCCTGACATGTTAACTTAAAAAGTTTATTGTTGCCACTTCAAACAGTTTAGTTTTCCATGTTTCCTCACTTCCATGCGGTTCCTTGTTTTCCCCATGAAGAGCAGATGGGATCGATTTCTACAGGTAGCAGCAGCCGCTCTCTCAATTATTGTGTTAAGTGCCATGTTGTTTCTATCATACTCATGCCTGAGTCTTCTGTCATTTGGTGGATTATATATCACGGCTACTAATCTTGATCCTCCCATCATCATGGTGCCTTTTTTGAAGTTTTTGAACTTCAGAAACTTCAAAAAACTCCAGCTGCGAGGTCATTCCCTCGCAGCTGGGAATAACCATCTCCTCGAAACTCCATTCCTTTCTCATCAATAAGGCCACTCCACCTCCTCCCCTTCCTTCCCTCTCTTTCCTTATTACAGTATAGTCCTGGGAAAACACTGCATTCATTATGATTCTTGAGAGTTTTGTTTCTGTGAGTCCAATTACATCCAGGTTTGCTTCTTGTGCTCTTTCCCCAAGTTCACTTCCCTTGATTGTGATCCCATCTATGTTTGAGTACATAACCTTGAAGCTGACTGTCTTCTGTCTATCCTCAGTTTCTGTTGGTTCTGAAGGAGTTATGGGACAAGGGGTGTCCAGGGGATGAGGACCTAGGAAGGGGGGAACTTGGGGGATATGGGGTGTGAGGGGTTGGGAGGATCTGGTACATGTGGGCTGGGAGGGTCAGGAGTGGAGTGGCTGAGAGGGTCTGGTATTGGGGGTGAATTAGGACATGGCATGGGGGACCAGGGAGGTGGGGCATATGGTGGAAGGGCAGGGGAGCTATTGGGTTCGGGAATGGTGGGGAGTCTGGGGTATGGGGACATGGAGATCAGGGTTTGGGAGGAATTTGTGAGTTGGTTAACTGGGTCTCAGAGGATTATTGGGCAAGGAAAGAGTGGGGACATGGAAGATATTGGATGAAGGGGGAGGGGACCAAGAGGGGTATGAGGTGAGGGGGGGGGGATGGGGGACTGTGAGGATATGGTGGTGACAGAGATGTGGGGACAGGGATGGTATGGGATGAGTCGGGATGGGGGACAAAGAGGGTAAAGGGTGAGGGGGGTACAGGGAGGGTATGGGATGAGGGAGGGTATGGGGTGAAAGGGGGGAGATGGTTGAATGAGGGCAGGGAGGGTTCTGGGTAGGGTGTGTATTATATGGGGTGGAAGATGGGGGTGTTGCCCTCTACTCTGGGGTTGCTGGGGTGCTGGTTGGGAGTTCCCCACTCCCCTCCATGACTGTTGAGTTGGGGGGGCTGTGGTTCCCTGATTCTCTCCTCTTCCCTTACGCTTCCTCCTCAGTTCTGCTGCCTTTACTCTTTCTTCCCTCGTCATGTCCCCTCTGGAGGAATACTTCATGTCTCACAGCAGAGAGAGACATTGGAATTTGTGGCAGAACCTCAAAGCCATTCCATTGGTTTAGGAAGCTTGGGGCACCTCCAGCAATGTCATGCACTGTACACATTCGAGGAAGTTGAGACCATCTGTAGTCAAGATTTCAGAGTCAATCTACTTGACTTTCGATCTATATCCTGAATGACCTGTTGATTCTGTGGCCACCAAACTCGATGACGTTTTTCTATATCTGCACAGTAGAGAATTTAGCATACATGACAAGGCCTCACAAATGCCCTAAAGCACTCGACTGCTCGTCATTGCCTCGTGTTATCTGTCACATATTTTGGCCAAGATTCTAGAAGCATCTCACCTCTGCGTCGCTTTCCGACGACGCTTCTACAGTACGCAACGAATTCTCAGCAGTGTGTCTGGGTTGACCAGGCCAGATTAAATTGCACTAGGACGCCTTGATGTCGCTAATCCCATTTGTAGCAACAGTTTTCCCATCACGCTTTCTTATAGCATATGTACTCTCTATTTACGCATTATTTTCTCTCATGCACTGGGGGACATCAATAGTTCTGCTATCTGAATATTTATATTATTTGGGACATAACATCACACTCATTCCCTCGCTTAATAACATACCTTTGTGCCTCTCACAGGTTGGCTGGGTATTCCAATGATGCTGCTGTTCTGTGGAAGTGTGGGCTTCGCTGGAACACGGCTTGGCCAATGTTGGATTATATTGGAAGAGAGATGGCCTGAGTACAAACTACCAACTAGGCAACCCTATATGGACATAGCTGAGAGAGCTCTGGGGAATGTTGGAAGGTGAGGAATGAGGTAGCTCTGTTTTGGTCTGTTTCTGATTCTTTACTTTCCCAGTCATCGAATTCAATGACTCCAGATTATATCTTACCTCTTATCTAGATTTGATATCATGAATGAATTTATCCTCTACCTTTTAAAATATTCCAACGGGTCACTATGTTTATGTTAAAGTAATTCCTTACAACTATATAGTTCATCTGGATCTGCAGCTCCCTCCGTGTAATCTTGGGTTGATATTTCTCAGTTTAAAGAATTTGTCCTTTGCTCGGTATTTTGCTAAGTATTTTACGTGTTACAACCATGACTCTATTTCAGTGATGTGCTGTTCAGTTTCCTCAACTTACACCTGTCTCCCTAGCTGGGAGCACTAGGCAAATATTACATAATCTAGTACAAACAGAACCACATGTACTGCTGGTGTAATTTATCTCCGTGTGTCTCCGGATTTTTATTTTTATTTTTATACTCTTGCAGATACCACTTTTTCATTATGTATTACTCGTTTTGAATATACTTATCTGTTTCCATTCTGATCATGGTGTATTTATAAACCATTCCTGAAGGTTGTCTTAAGGTTGCTATGGCAGTTTCTATTGACCCACTGTGCTTTTATTAAAGTTCATTTTAAATACAGACGATGCATTTCATGTACAATGTTAGCAGCGTATTTTATTTTAGGGCTCTGTTACATAACGTATAATGTAGATTACATATATTGTAGTTTACATGAAGTTTTAGATTTTCATATAGAGGTTTCATTAGTCATTTTAATTCCACAGTGACTATTATTCTTCGATAACCCCTAATAAAATTATAGTTTTAGCCAACATAAATAAATTTTCGGCTGTTCAACGTACTGCATAGTCAAGAAAAGATATATGTTCCACTATATATTGTGTAATAGGTTAATGAACACTCATTCACAGAAGGAGGTTCAAGTTCTTTTCGAAGTTAGAAGCCTGATATTTATTAAATGATAAATTATGACCACTAAACGAAAAAGGAACATTCTTGTTAACAATCACATTATTCTAAATAACCATCTCGCTTGCTGACAGTCAGAAAAGATGCACGAGACTTGCCGAATGAAATCAGCTGAATGAGCATCCACTCTAACCAAGAATAATTTTTGTACCAAACAGGAAAATCACGCAGATTTCTGTCGTGTTGAACTTGTTCGGGTCAACGACCGTGTTCATCATCCTCATCTCAGAGATGGTGGCCAAAATCATAGCGTTTGAATGCCCTGGCCAATGTGTCCTCACCAAGTGCGAGCTGGTCATTATTGTCGGGGCCGTCATAATTCCCTTTACCTGGCTAGGAACTCCTAAAGATTTCTGGTAAGTAGAAAACCATCGCCTTACGCTGATGCATCTTCTCTCACTCCCAAACTACATCATCTCCCGCAGTAGCATCATCTTATTCGGTGGCAATGTCTCACTCAGTAACATCATCTCAAACAGTGGCATAAACTCCCACAGTGAGTATTGTCCCAGTGTCATCATCTCCCACATAGACATCATTTCCCACAATGGCCTTATCATCAACAGTGACATTATCTATCGCAGAGACATCATCTACTGTGGCATTATCACTCACATAGGCATCATCTCCCACATTGAAATCATCTACCATTGTAGCATCATCTCCTACAGTGGCATTATCTCACCAGTGGTGTTATCTCCCATAGTGATATCATCTCCAACAGTGGTCTTATCCCCAACAGCAACATCATCTCCCAGAGTGAAATCATATCCTCTCGTGGCATTATCACCAACATTGACATCACCTCCCACAGTAAAATTCTCTCTAATAGGTACATCATCTCTCACAGTGACATCATTTCTCAGTGTCATCATCTCTCACAGTGTCATCTCTCACAGTGTCATCATCTCTCACAGTGACATCATCTCTCACAGTGACATCATCTCTCAGAGTGTTATCATCTCCCCAAGTGGCATCATCTCTCTCAGTGGCATCATCTCCCACGATGATATCATCTTCCACAGTGACATCATCTCTCACAGTGGCATCATCTCCCACAGTGACATCATTTCCCACAGTGGTATCATCTCTCTGTGGCATCATCTCTCACAGTGGCATCATCTCCCACAGTGGCATCATCTCTCTGTGGCATCATCTCTCACAGTGGCATCATCTCCCACAGTGGCATCATCTCTCACAGTGGCATCATCTCCCACAGTGGCATCATCTCCCACAGTGGCATCATCTCCCACAGTGGCATCATCTCTCACAGTGGCATCATCTCCCACAGTGGCATCATCTCTCACAGTGGCATCATCTCCCACAGTGGCATCATCTCCCACAGTGGCATCATCTCTCACAGTGGCATCATCTCCCACAGTGTTATCATCTCCTACAGTGGCATCATCTCCCATAGTGACATCATCTCCCACAGTGTTATCATCTCCTACAGTGGTATAATTTCTGACGGTGGCATCATATAGAACAATGACATCATCTCCCCCAGTGGCATAATCTCCCACAGTGGCATCATTTCTCACAGTGGCATCATCTCTCACAGTAGCATCATCTCCCCAAGTGGCATCATCTCTCACAGTGGCATCATCTCTCACAGTGGCATCATCTCTCACAGTGGCATCATCTCCCAGAGTGGCATCTTCTCTCACAGTGGCATCAACTCCCCAAGTGGCATCATCTCCCACAGTGGCATCATCTCTCACAGTGGCATCATATCCAACAATGACATCATCTCCCACAGTGGCATCATCTCCCACAGTGGCATCATCTCTCACAGTGGCATCATCTCTCACAGTGGCATCATCTCCCACATGGCATCATCTCTCACAGTGGCATCATCTCTCACAGTGGCATCATCTCCCACAGTGGCATCATCTCTCACAGTGGCATCATCTCCCCAAGTGGCATCATCTCCCACAGTGGCATCATCTCTCACAGTGGCATCATATCCAACAATGACATCATATCCCACAGTGGCATTATCTCCCCCAGTGGCATCATCTCTCACAGTGGCATCATTTCACATATTGGCATCATATCCAACAATGACATCATCTCCTACAGTGACATCACTTCTCACGGTGGCATTTTCTCCCACAGTGGCATCATATCCAACAATGACATCATCTCCTACAGTGACATCACTTCTCAAGGTGGCATTATCTCCCACAGTGGCATCATATCCAATAAAGGCATCATCTTCCCAAGTGGCTTCATTTCCCACAGTGGCATTATCTCCCACAGTGACATCATCTCCCCAAGTGGCATCATCTCCCACAGTGGCATCATCTCCCACAGTGGCATCATCTCTCACAGTGGCATCATCTCTCACAGTGGCATCATCTCCCCAAGTGGCATCATCTCTCACAGTGGCATCATCTCCCACAGTGGCATCATCTCTCACAGTGGCATCATCTCTCACAGTGGCATCATATCCAACAATGACATCATCTCCCACAGGGCATCATCTCCCACAGTGGCACCATCTCCCACAGTGGCATCAGCTCTCACAGTGGCATCATCTCCGCCAATAACATCATGTCCCACAGTGGCATCATCTCCCACAGTGGCATCATCTCCCCCAATGGCATCATCTCCCACAGTGGTATCACCTCCCCCAATGGCATCATCTCCCACAGTGGCATCATCTCTCACAGTGGCATCATCTCCCACAGTGACATCATCTCCCACAGTGACATCATCTCCCTCAGTTGCATCATCTCCCACAGTGACATCATCTCCCACAGTGGCATCATCTCTCACAGTTACATCATCTCCCACAGTGGCATCATCTCCCAAAGTGGCATCATCTCCCACAGTGACATCATCTCACACAGTGTTATCATCTCCTACAGTGGCATCATCTCCCACATTGGCATAATCTCCCACAGTGGCATCATCTCCCACAGTGGCATCATCTCCCACAGTGACATCATCTCACACAGTGTAATCATTTCCTACAGTGGCATCATCTCTCACAGTGGCATCATCTCCCACAGTGGCATCATTTCTCACAGTGGCATCAGTTCCTACAGTGGCATCATTTCTCACAGTGGCATCATCTCCCACAGTGGCATCATCTCCCACAGTGGCATCAATTCTCACAGTGGCATCAATTCTCACAGTGGCGTCATCTCCCACAGTGGCATCATTTCTCACAGTGACATCATCTCCCACAGTGGCATCATCTCTCACAGTGGCATCATCTCCCACAGTGACATCATATCCCACAGTGGCATCATCTCTCACAGTGGCATCATTTCTCGCAGTGGCATCATCTCTCACAGTGGCATCATCTCTCACAGTGGCATCATATCCAACAATGACATCACTTCTCACAGTGGCATCATTTCCCACAGTGGCATTATCTCCCACAGTGGCGTCATATCCAACAATGATATCATCTCTCACAGTGGTATCATCTACCCCAGTGGCATCATCTCCCACAGTGGCATCATCTCTCACAGTGACATCATTTCTCACAGTGACATCATTTCTCACAGTGACATCATTTCTCACAGTGCCATCATATCCAACAATGACATCATCTCCCACAGTTGGCATCGTATCCAACAATGATATCATCTCCCACAGTGGCATCATCTCTCACAGTGGAATCATCTCCCACAGTGGCATCATCTCTCACAGTGACATCATTTCTCACAGTGCCATCATATCCAACAATGACATCATCTCCCACAGTGGCATTATCTCCCCCAGTGGCATTATCTCCCACAGTGGCATCATATCCAACATTGACATCATCTCCCCCAGTGGCATCATCTCTCACAGTGGCATCATCTCCCACAGTGGCATCATCTCTCACAGTGGCATCATATCTCACAGTGGCATCATATCCAACAATGACATCATCTCCCACAGTGGCATTATCTCCCCCAGTGGCATCATCTCCCACAGTGGCATCATATCCAACAATGGCATCATCTCTCTCAGTGGCATCATCTTCCACAGTGGCATCATCTCTCACAGTGGCATCATTTCTCTCAGTGGCATTATCTCCCCCAGTGGCATTATCTCCCACAGTGGCATCATATCCAACATTGACATCATCTCCCCCAGTGGCATCATCTCTCACAGTGGCATCATCTCCCACAGTGGCAATCTCCCACAGTGGCATCATCTCCCACAGTGGCATCATCTCCCACAGTGGCAATATCTCCCACAGTGGCAATGTCTCACACATTGACAAGGTACACGTTATCATTGATATTAATATCTGCAATAATAAAATCAACTTTTGAGTGCTTGAGGTAAATATGGTGTCAATATTTCTCACAAAGTGTTGATATACTACACGGGCGCAAGCTGTTACACTACTCTCATAATATTATTATTATATAATTATATATATATATATATATATATATATATATATATATATATATATATATATATATATATATATATATATATATATATATATATATATATGAAAAATAGAAAGTGCTTAACGCGTTTTCGGCTAATTCGCCTTCATCAGAGCAAAGTAGAATGAAGATAAGATTGCTGATCAGACCTTTATATCCGCCTGGGCAGATCACGTGACCACCAAAAATAAGTGGAGGAAAGGAATTATAAGAAAGAAGGTAACTGCAGAAGGCCTATTGGCCCATACGAGGCAGCTCCTATTAATATCTCCAAGTGCCATACGTGTTAAATGATTGCTATATTGTTTTGACGTGCTATATTGAGGCTTAAATAGGGATCCAACTTGTACATACCGGGGCTCACATTAAGGCTGTTGTTACAATGTTTGATCAGAGCAGACTCGATCACGTTTCGTTCAACAAAATCTTTACTTTTAACAATACATTAACAATACGCAAAAAGGGAGAGAGGTAGGAAGGAGGGTGGGGTGGCAGTAAGGGAGGGAGGGAAGGAGGGGGTTGGGGTAACAGGAAGTGAGGGAAGAAGTGGGGGGGGGGTTGGCCGGAAAGGAGGGACGGAGGGAGTAAGGAGGGGAGGGGTGGCAGGAAGGGAGGGAGGGAGGAAAGAGGGGTGGGGTGGAAGGAAGGGAAGGAGGGAGTAAGGAGGGGAGGGGTGGCAGGAAGGGAGGGAGGGAGGAAAGAGGGGTGGGGTGGAAGGAAGGGAAGGAGGGAGTAAGGAGGGGAGGGGTGGCAGGAAGGGAGAGATGGAGGAAGGAGGGGTAGGGTGGCAGGATGAGAGGGAGGGAGGAAGAAGGGGTGGGGTGGAAGGAAGGGAGAGAGGGAGGAAAGGGGCAAGGCTGGCAGGAAGTGAGGGAACAAGGGGTTGGGGTGGCAGGAAGGGAGGGAGGGTGGGAGATAGGTACGGAGTGGGTTGTGTGGCAGGAAGAGAG